TATTCATTGGAAGGACTGATGCTGAAGCTGAAACTCCAATACTTTGGCCACCTGATGCAAAGAACTGATGCATTTGAAAAGACCCTGATGCTGGGAAAGATTGAAGGTGGAAGGAGAAGGGGACAACAGAGGATGAGACGGCTGGATGGCATCACCGACTCAATGGACATGAGTTTGAATAAACTCCGGGAGTTGGTGATGGACAGGGAGGCCTGGTGTGCTGCAGTCCATGGGGTCACAAAGAGTCGTACACAACTGAGTGACTGAACTGAACACTAAACAGATTTACAGATTTTATATACTCTCCATCAAAATCTCAAACTGAGCAGCTCATCCCATGTAAGAGTCACATGGAAATACAAAGGATCTAGAATAGTCAAAAAAGAATCTTGGGAAAGAAATATAAATTTTAAGAACTCATACTTCTCACTTTCCTAACTTCTACAGAGCTACAATTATCAAGTTTTACCAACACAAAGAGAAACACCCAGAACAATGGAAGAGAATAATCCCAGAAAGAGACTCACACAAACATGCCCAACTGTTTTTGACAAAGGTGTAAAACCAATTCCCAGGAAAAATGATCTTGTCAACCAATGGTTCTGGGAACTACTGCACACTCACATGGCAGTACATCTGACCGAAATCTAACACCTTACCCAAAAATAACTCAAAATGGATTATGAAGCTAAATGTAAAAACTATAAAAAACTTTGGGGGAAAACAAAACAGTAGAAAATCTTTTGGACCCAGGCCTAGGAAACAAGTACCTAGAGACCTGATACTAAAAGCATGATCCACAGAAAAAAAGCTGATAGATTGGACTTATTTAAAATTTACAAGTATCCTACTAAAAGGATGAAAAGACAAACTTTAGGCCGAGAGAAAATATTTGCAAACCGCATATCTGACAAAGAACTAATATTTAGGATATATGAAAAACTATTGAAAACTCAGTAGTTTAAAAAAAAAAAAAAAAACTCCAACTGGAAAATGTGGAAAAGACATCAACAGAAAGTAAAAAAGTGAAAAGTGAAAGTCTGAGTCGCTCAGTCATGTCGAACTCTTTGCAACCCCATGGACTGTAGCCCACCAGGCTCCTCTGTCCATGGGATTCTCCAGGAAAGAATACTAGAGTACGTTGTCATTCCCTTCTCCAGGGGATGGATCTTCCTGACCCAGGGATTGAACCTGGGTCTCCTACACTGCAGGCAGATTCTATACCATCTGAGCCACATCAACAGATGTTTCACCAAAGATTTACAGATGGTAAATAAACACATGAAAAGACATTCAACATTATCATTATTAGGAAACTACATTAAAAACCCAATCACTATACACCTATCAGAATGGCCTAAACACAAGTCACATGCCAAATATTGGGGAAGATATGAAGAAACCAGGTGTTTGTTCGTTTGTTTTTAAAAAACCAGGTTTTTAATACATTGCTGATACAAAAGGAAAATAGTACAGTCTCTCTGAAAACTGTCTGGCAGTTTCTTACAATAGTAGGCTTGTAACTACCATACAACCCAACAATAACAAACACTCCTAGGCAATATCCTAAAGAAATAAAGACTGTGTTTACAAAAAAAAAAAAAAAAACCTGTACAAGAATGTCTACAGCAGCTCTATTCATAATAACTTAGATGATTTTTAATAAGTGAATGGTTAAACTGTGGTACATCCCCACCATTGAATGATACTAACAATTAAAACAAATGAACTATTTACACTTGCAAAAACCTGGATGAATCTCCAGACAGTTATGCTAACTCTAAAAAGTCAACCCCCAAAGGTTACAAATTATATAAATCCGCTTATAAAACATGCTTGAAGTATTACAGAAATAGAAACTGGATCAGTTATTGACAGTGGCTAAGGAGAGAATAGGGATAGGACAGAACTATGTCTGGCTATAAGAGGGCATCTTCAGGAATCCCTGCAATGATGGGAGTGTATCTTGACTGTATCCAGTGTTATATATCTGAGTGATACTGAACACAGTTTTGCAAAATATTAGCAACTGAATATTGAAAATGCTGAAAGAAACTAAAGAGTACACAAGATGTCTCTGTATTGCTTCTTATAATTTCACCACAGGAGTCTATGCTTATCTCTAAATAAAAAGGTCATTTTTTAAAAATGATGCTATAGTGTGTTCTGTATATATTTTTCTGGTTGTATTTGTACATAAAACGGGTTCCTGACTACATATTTAGATATATGTATCTGTGGATCAATGAGATTTTAGGTGATTTCAATTTTTTACACGTTTATTTGTACTCTTATTTATCAATAATACACACAAATGACTTTCCTAATAAAAGAAAGAGAGATTATTCTTAATTTTTTAAATGTGCTTTCTATGAAATACAAAACACTGACTTAGAAGCACTACACATAACATTGTTGTTGTTATTCAGTCACTAAGTTGTGTCCGACTCTTTGCGACCTCATGAACTACAGCATCCCAGGCTTCCCTGTCCTTCACTACCTCTTGCAGTTTCTTCAAATTCATGTCCACTGAGTGGGTGATGCCATCCAACGTTTCATCCTGTGTGGCCCCCTGCCCTCAATCTTTTCCAGCATTGTGCACTGGTTATGTAAAAACTGGAAATTAAAATAAGTTATATCTGTTCTGAAGAAAAAAGAGTGCACTGAATAATACAGGTTCAGTGGAAGACAAATTAATCTTGAAACAAAGTATTATTTTAACTACTTACACGATAGGCTGTACTGGTTGGTGGGTGATGATAGGCTGTGCTGGTTGGTGGGTAACAGGAGCTGTAACATAAGCAGCAGGAGCAGGCTGTACTCCCATCATCCCTGAACCATCTAAAAGGAAAACAACACATTTGTGTCAGAGTACTCACTTAATAACACTTATCCCTAAAGGAAAAGTCACATACTGAAAATGCTACCTAAGGGAAAAAACCCACATTTCCTTCTGATTTAAGGGTTAGCAAAGAATAATGCAAGAAAACATGAAATAGCTATTTCTCAAATCTAGATAAAAAGGAAATAACTATAAATTATAACTGAGTTTTAAAGTAGAGCATTTACTAAATCAATAAATATATAATATTGGAATTAAGTAAAGCTGTGTTTTTTCTCATTGATATATTTTTCTTGCACAGAAACCAATTTTCCTGACTGAACTGCTGGACAATAATGTTTATCCCACAGATAACTTACAATAAGCAAGACCAGGATCCAAAGTATTCCTGGCCCCATAGAAATAGTACACGTCATCGTAAGGAGTTCGATAGTTCGTAGCCAAAGGGGGCAGCATGGGAGGTGGAGGCAGAGGTGCAACTCTGTACCAACAGAAAATTGGGAAATTCTTCTCATATTTCATTGCAACTTAAAAAAAAAAAATCAAGATATTATTCTTTCACAAAAATCTTACTGAAAATCTAATTGCTACTTTAGGAAAAGTCACCATCTTACTCCAATCTCATCAAAAATTATAATTCAAAAAGAAAAAATATAAAATTTCAGAATTTAAGGTACCACAGTTACTCAACAAGTATCTAATTTGTCACCATCTGCCAGTATTGAACAAATATGTCTCTGTCCCTCAGAAATAATACAGAAATAAAACAGCCATTATAGCAGAATACAGCAAATGAAGGGGTTTCCCAGGTAGCACTAATGGTTAAAACACAAAAAAACCCGCCTGCTAATGCAGGAGACATAATGATACACAAGTCCAATCCCTGGGTTGGGAAGGTCCCCTGGAGGAGGGTCTGGCAACCAACTCCAGTATTCTTGCCTGGAGAATCTCATGGACAGAGAAGTCTGATGGGCTACAGTCCATGGGGTTGCAAAGATCTGGACATGATTGAAGCAACTTAGCACAGCACATAGCACAGAGCAGATGAAGCAATACAAGGAGACATGGGGTGTTAAAAGAACAGGAACATTTAGATTATATGGAGTAGGAACATTTAGATCACATAGAGAAGAGGAGGAAGTATAAGGAAGGCTTTCCAGGAAAGGCAATGCTTCAGCCACGCTGCCAGAGTGAATCACAGACAAGGAGGATACAAGAAGAAGAAAAGGCAAAGGTACAGAATGGGATTACAAGTGGTTCCATGTGACTGAGAGAAAGGTGTATTTTTTTTAACTCTAAAAATGTATTGTTCTTTCAAAGGAATTAAACTATAATGTGAAAAAAAAACTACTTAAATATCAACAGTAAATTTTTGACTTAATTTTCAGCACTTCATAAAGTTAAAACTTCTGAAAATGTCTATATCAGAACTTCATTAATGATTAAGAAGTGTCTCTGTATTTCCACCAAGGCAGTATTTTCCATTTGGTAAAAGGTAAAAAGCAGATTCCTTTAGATGAACAGAAAGAGAATGGAAGCATCCTAGAATGTCTTCACATTTGAGTGTGTATCTTTGGTTCTCCTTTGTATACTTCAAAATAATTCTGAAGAGCTGAGAAGGCATTAAAGTTCTCTTCAGTCATGAATACTCTTCACATTTACTAAGCATTGATGTATTTAATCTTACTGTCCTCACTCTGTAGATATATCAACAAAACAGCTGAAAAATTACTATAAAAGGAAATTTTCAGTATCATTAAAGTTTAAATTTTTAGAGATTTATGGAAGATTTAATCCTCATAACAATCCTCTAACTGTAGATTAAAAAACATACACACACTCACACACACATATCTATGTTACTATTCTACTTCTATAAGTGAGAAAACTGAAGTTTAATAAAAGTATGGTTTGCCCAAACTCCAGGCAGTGAAGCAGCCATATTAATCCCTAAGTCAACGCTGATATCATCATCCATGCTCTGTAATTTCAATCCCACCTAGCCTTTTGAGTCGGGAAGCCATCAGATGAAACAAATCAAACATCTGATAAATACAGTAAACATGGTCAAACAATTTGTTAGCAGTAAATAAAAGATGATACCAAGTCATACTGAAGGAATGTATAGGCCAGAAAATATCAATGTTAAAAAGGAAAAACACCTGATTAAATGCAATCTGTCAATTAATACATTAGTAGTGAACAAAAAATAAGCAAAAATCCTGAGAGAAGAAAGTACAGACCAGAAAATACCAATATTAACAAGATTTTCTTTATGTTTAGTCCAATATAGTATGATGCCTTTTACCTATGACATTAAATTTTTACCCTAATACCTAAATTACAGTTTTTATAATCTCAACACTTTATTTCAGATACTTGAGCTGCATAGCCTGTAAGTAATCACAATTGAGAAAGAGTTGAAGAAAACAAACTAAAGTAATATATATAAAACAGTCACATTAGAAACTTTTTCTGCATTAACTGAAGGAAGTATTCAATGTTTGCCAAGTGGAAATCACAAAATTGAAAATGTCCAGGTTTTATATGTTAAAAGATATTAAAAACATACATTCCAAAATATGGCCTAAAACTAAATACTAAATATATTTAGTTACACATTTTAAAAATACTGAAGCATCTTTAAACAATAAAAGAATGTTATAAGAATTTCCCTTGTTTAACAGAGAAAAGATCAACAATGAAAACAAATTTCAACAGAAATTATTTGACAAAATCCATTGACTGTATGAAAATCTCTGAAGGATACCATCATCTGCTTCAGCAACTACTTCTAAATATAAAAAAAAATGATACCTTACCTAATTCCCAAACACAAAACATTTTAAACAAGCACCTGGGAGGCACCATGTCACCAAGAGTGCTGCTGAGTCCACTGTGCACATCTTCGTTCTGAGATGGGATGGAGGAAACTGATGGGATGGGTGGGACAGATGGGGCGGACAGAGGAGGGAGAGGTGTCTGGAAAGCTACTCTGGGTCTCTCAGGTGGTATCGTCTCTTCAAAGTGTCTTGGTGCCACACTAAACTGCTTTAGTCTATCAGGCTAAAATAAAGAGAAAAAATCTGTGTGTCACATGTCATCATAAATTTAAAGGTGGAAGAGATCTCAAAAGACCCTCTGTCCCAGACTGCCAGCAGGCACTTAAGTTAGACACAGAGCAGAGACAGAAAAGTTTGGGATTTCCCAGGTGGCTCAGTGGTAAAGAATCTGCCTGCCAATGCAGGAGACCTGGGTTTGATCCTAGGGTTTGGAAGATCCCCTGGAGGAAATGGCAATCCACTCCAGTATTCTTGTCTGGAGAATCCCATGGACAGAGGAGCCTGGAGGGCTACAGTCCATAGGGTCACAAAGAATAAGACATGACTGAGCACACACAACAGAATTTTACAGCTATAAGAGATTTTTAAGATCCAATTCTTATTTTATAAAATGAGTAAGCGAGTCTCCATGAAAGTACATATATCAGCTAAGGTTTCACCATTAATAAATAAGCAAAGACTAGAGCCAGATATTAATTCTAAATATAAAACTCTATTATACTACAACACTATGCTGCTTCACTACTCTCACTTGTCTTCAAAGTATTCTAACATTAAAGTTTCTCTACAGCAGAGTAAGCAAACGTTTTCTGTGAAGAGCCAGTTAGTAAACATATCAGACTTTGCAAGCCACCTGATCTCTTCTTAACTTCTAAAGTAGATCAAAACAGTATATGAGCAAATTAGCGAGGAGGGTGTGATGCAATAAAACTTTAAAAAAACAGGAAGCAAATGGATTTGGCCATAGGTTATATAGTTTGCTAACCTCTACTCCAGAACATCGTTTAAGTGCCCTTTTCTAAGATCTGCTCATCAAAAACAAATTCAAAAGTGATGGTCTAAATAACTATTACATGTAACATTTTTATTTATTCTCATAAAAAGCAACTTGACACTCTAAAAATTGTTTAAATATAAATAGGAAGATCCATCAAACACAAAGGTAACTATAAATGTGAGGTTTAACATGCCACCACATTACATTAAAAAGTTCAAGATTCTAAAAGGAAATTCTTGACTGTCAAAACTATTTTGAAGGTATTTACTGACAGAAGAAAACATATTCAGTTTTGGAATTTATTCTTTTTTCCTAGCATTTTTAATTTCTCAAGAATGATTTCTCAGATTAATCTTAACAGTTTTACTCTATGAGAAGTCAAAAAGCACACGAGGAGTGACACTGGTACAGCATCAAACTTTTTAAAATGAAGAATCCACAGGTTACATTCAGCATAAGAAAAAGTAGGACAAAAGTTGCCTACAACAGAGTTATTTTCAGTTGCTGTATTCTTTTTAAGAACAAACTTTTTAACGTAATTTTTTTTTAATTTTTACCTTTTAATCTCCTGAGAATATTTTGGCAATCTTCCCATGCCCCTTTCATCTCTCAGTTCTCAGCTCATAATCTGTTTTTTTTTTCAGCTTTTTATTTATTTTTTTCATTTATTTTTACTAGTTGGAGGCTAATTACTTTACAATATTTTAGTGGTTTTTGCCATACATTGACATGAATTAGCCATGGATTTACATGTATTCCTCATCCTGATCCCCCCTCCCACCTCCCTCTCCACCCGATCCCTCTGGGTCTTCCTAGTGCACCAGGCCCGAGCACTTGTCTCATGCATCCAACCTGGGCTGGTGATCTGTTTCACCCTAGATAATATACATGTTTCGATGCTGT